AAATAGAAATAAAGTGACAATTGTTTTATAAACTCTTCAAGTATAAGAGTATGAGTTAAACTCACATTAGGTTTAATCCAGATTTTGATCTATAGATTTAATAGCTATTTAATAAATAAGTAAATCTAATGTAAATTTGATTTTTAAATAAGACTGCCTATAATTAGTGCAATAAATTCACTCAAACTTGAGTTCTATAGTATCAAATTGAAAAGTAAAGTGAACTCATTAATAAATACAGTATGTTGTCAATAATTAAAATAAGTTTTAAGCTTTTAGTTTTGATATTAATTAAATCAAAATTACAAAATAAAATTAATATTTGAAAAATGTTTCATAACTCTGATCATGCATTTGTTGCAATAAAAGTAAAAATAAATTTAAGAGCACTTCCAGAAAGTATAGAATAATTAGCAAAAGTGAAAGCAAGGATTGATATAAAGATTTGTCATTTGAGAGCATCACATATGTTGTCAATGAAATTATTTATATATATTTATATCGTATTATTATTATAAGATTGATGTCTAGAATACAAACTATAATCCGGTGCTAATTAGAGCTGAGGTCTGGCAAAGGGTTTAATGAGAAACATTTTGTCGCCTTTAGGACTGGTATAGATGGGGGCCTTCTTGTAGTGCTCTATGAGTTCATCTAATGAGCCGAACCTTCGCTGTCCGATGCAGTAAATGCCGTCATCGTAATGCACCCGAAAGTGTTTGTTTCTCATCGGCGCCTTCAGGGACACCGAGTAATCGCCGGCCTATCCATCCATAAACACATTAGTTATCACTTGTTTGTTGTTTACAATTCATTTCATTTAATCATAACTCACTCAACGTATCTAACATTCAATATTAATATTTAACAGACAATTATTCATAACTTGATGTAAATATTTATATTCTTAATACTGTAGTGCATAATGAAATGGTAATTTTATCATTTGGTTAAGTGTAAAGTCAAACAATTTTTTATATTAATAAATGGGAATACAAACTATTTCAGTGCGGTATATGAAATCATAAAATGTATAAGAAAAATAAATTTAACAAATATAACTTATAACTTAAAATATAACTGTCTTATAACTTATAAGTTTGACTAGTTTGAGAGGTTAACTACACTGTAGACTATTATGATAAGCCTATTATAGGGCTATTTAAGTAAATGAAACCCAGAATAAAGTAAACGAGACTTACATTGGTTTCACTGTCTCTGATGAGGAAGTCTCCGTCGTCTGCCATTTCATTGAG